TGAGAATGGTGCAGACATCAACGCGCAGGGTGGGGGATATAGGAATGTGCTGCATGCTGCAGTGGCTGGTGGGCATGAGTCGCTGGCCTGCCTGCTCATTGAGAAGGGTGCAGACATCAGTTCACAGGATGGGGTATATGGGAACATGCTGCAGGCAGTATCGTATCGTGGCCATGAGTCAGTGGCTCGCCTCCTCATTGAGAAGGGTGCAAATGTCAATGAACGGGGTGGGCAATACGGGAATGCACTACAGGGAGCATCGGCTGGCGGGCATGAGTTGGTAGCCTGCCTGCTCATTGAGAAGGGTGCAAATGTCAATGCACGGGGTGGGGAATATGGGAATGCGCTGCAGGGAGCATCGGCTGGTGGGCAGGAGTTGGTGGCCTGCCTGCTCATTGAGAAGGGTGAAAATGTCAATGCACGGGGTGGGGAATACGCGAACCCACTGCAGGCAGCATCATATTGTGGGCATGAGTCACTGGCCTGCCTGCTCATTGTGAACGGTGCCAATATCAATGCGCATGGTGGGGAATATGGGAACGCACTGCAGGCTGCATCATATTGTGGGCATCAGTTGCTGGCCCACCTGCTCATTGAGAAGGGTGCAGACATCAATGCACAGGGTGGGAGATATGGGAATGCACTGCAAGCAGCATCATATGGTGGACATGAGACGCTGGCCTTCCTACTCATTGAGAAGGGTGCAGATATCAATGCACAAGGTGGGAGATATGGTAATGCACTGCAGGCAGCATCATATTGTGGGCATGAGTCGCTGGCCCGCCTACTCATTGAGAAGGGTGCAGACATCAATGCACAGGGTGGTAGATATGGGAATGCACTGCAGGCAGCATCATATAGTGGGCACAAGTCTCTGGCCCACCTGCTCATTGAGAAGGGTGCAGACATCAATGCACAGGGTGGCTTTTTGGAAGTGCACTTCAGGTAGCATTACATCGAGGGCACAAGTCGCTGGCCTGCCTGCTCGTTGAGAAGGGTGCAGACACCAGTGCACAGAGTGGGGTACATGGGTAAGGAACCCCGTGAGAACATGCCAGAACATTCCGTGATGTTGATGTTCAATCATTCATTCCCGCCTTGGAGATCTTTGGGAACATTTAATCATCATTGTAGATAGTTTTAGTATTTTTTCAAGTAGTATAAAAGCCTTGAAGTTCAGTGGCAAGATTTCAAATTTGGCCTAACTTCAATAGGTCATGGGCCCTTCCATTACATAAATAACCTGAATGAAAACTGTGTCTGAGTAGCTGTGATGGTCAAATGAGCCCCAAAAGATCTTATTGTTTAAGGAATCCTGCTTGCAAGTTTTCAAACCCTCAGTGCGACCCCTTGATGCTCACCAGCTACTGCAGCTGATTCAACAATTTCATGGGGAACATCATATTCAACACTCCCCTGATATCCCTAGTGCTGGCCAAAAATCTGATACGGTTGAATATGAATACAATACGGGCTTCAGGCTGTCCTGAAGATATGAATACGACTGACTATGAATACAATATGATACGCGGTCCACTGTATTCAAATATATTTGAATACGGTGCAATTCACTTTTAGGCCGTGCCAAGCCTCACTGGCATCAGTCGGAGTATGAATCTTATCTGGCGGACTTGGAAAGTTCCCTCTGATGTATCAATCCGGCAGGAGACCCGCACTGGCCGCAGTGCAGCACAGCGTTTGTTGGAGGTTGAACCACACATGTTCATCACAATACCGTGATGGACATGTTGAAATTGAGTTCTCACCTCTCTGGCACCATTTGTACCTCAGAGTATAAATGTGTTCAATTTTGTTCAATTTCCAAGCACTTTGAGAAGATTTTCATTGGATTCAAGATAGTTTTCACCCCAAGGAAATCCCCAGAATATATTTGTATTCATAGGCCTGAATATGAATATGATACAATACAGATATGGTATGGGTGAATACAATACGGCATTTAGCGTATTCATATTTGGCCAGCACTAATTATCCCTGAAAAATAATTGGAAGCCCTTTACCCTCAAAATTCACTTTCACATGCTCCAAAATATTTTACAAATAAGATGCACATTCCTCAGGGGAGAGCGCACCTCGCTTTATCTGAATCATGATTATTGACATCTTGGGTCGTACTCACTGATTTTGAATCGAGCATAAATCACACATATGAAACATTAGGTACAAACCTGGCGGTGTACGCTGCATGCCCACTAGAAACATGTATATGACTGACTCAAAAGTCATGTGTACTCGGTTCAATCATACCTACCTATAATAATACTGATTGCATACCTGTACACATGCTTACGAGAAATATGCACTCGCTGTGGGAATCCGGGGCCGGGTCATAATAGTTGCTTCCATTGACTCTTTCTGAATTTTTTTTTTTTGTCCCCGGTCTGCATTGATTTAACAACATTCGACGCATGATAGCTGAGCGCAACGCCATTGAACTTGAATCGGGTTCAACAACTTGTTTCAGAAAAAGCTACAGGCAAGGCGGGAACATAAGCAAATTTAAATTTGGCATACAAGGCGAGTGCAAGGACTTTGTTCAATACAGGTTTCGCTTGCGATCCTTCAAGTCGAACGTTCAGGGTTATTTATGTTCAAGTTGAGTCGAGCCGAAAAGAGCTGGAGAACAACATGACCAAATGCTTGCACAGCTTTGCCTCTTTCCCCTCCCGCCCAATTCGAACGGTTCTGCCAGTCTGGCCATTCGCATTCGGCGCTATGCCTGACTTCTACTGGGGAGACTCTGTTCAACCAGCAGTACTGGCGATTGAGATTTTCTCCACACTGCTCCCAAATCATTTGGGAGCAGGGCCAAATGGCGCGCGTTGCTGAGTGGTAAGTTATGCTGCATTCATACATATTTCTTTTTCTCTTCGCATCAAGTCGCAATTAATATTCAAATAGCATCGTCCTGGCCCAAGGTTCGCTGAACTTATCAAACTCCTTTGTAGAAACTGTATTAATGCCTTGAATACAATGCCTTGGTGGCAATTCAATTCCGACAAACCTATGCGTCCGTCTTACCTGGCGTATCGATTTTCTGATGGTATTCTGGCCATCGTTCTTCCTCGTGGTCTTGACTGATATGCAGGACCTGGTACGTCCCATGGTACGTGATTTCTCGTTTCCATGACAGCTTGAGACTCTTTTCAGTAAAAAATATGCGAGTTATCCAGGAGAAGCGCAGGAGAACGCTCGTCCGTTTATCGCAAGCTTTCTGAATATGTGCATCCCGGCGACAGCGAGTCCCGACTTCCACCTCGGCCCCTGCTCAGTTGTGGCGCCTCGACACGGGGAATCTGTGCGCTCATGGGACAGCCGCACCGACTCGTTCCACGCGAGAAGCATCGAGCTCAAGAGTACGTAACGAGCTGAGCGTCGAGGAGCCGTAGTACCACCCCTCTCCGCAAAACCCATCCAATCACGCATGACGTGCCGCCACTCCCTCTCCTCCGCAGTCCTCCCCCGCACACCCACCCAATCACCCGCCCCCTCCGGCCGTCTGCCGAGCTCCCGTCGAAAGCACCGATGGCTCAAATTTGCGGCACCCCGCTTACTCTCCTTGCCCCTCCCTCCTCCCCCCGCAGCAAGTCGAAAATACGGCGCTCCCGCTTCAATATCTCAGTACATGCGTACTTCGAATCGCGCGACGCTCTCCCGATCCGTCAAGCTGTGGCCTGCGCATTTTGCAGACGCGCGCGTGATATCATGACGGACGGCTGCATCTCGTTTGGGGAGGGAGTGTAGATCCGCGCAGCGCCAACAGTCCTAGGCTCCCAGCTTACCGATGTTCAACTCATCCGCCAATTTCAAACTCCGGCGTGCTTAGGCCAATAGGGTCGTACACAGTGGAGTTCTTAATCTGATTTCAAGCTGGATTTTGAGCTGGATTTCGACCAGAGTGTGACACGATCGAGGTTTGAAATCAACTCTGATCGCTCGGGCTAAATCAGCGAAATCCAGACGGCAACACGGCAGCGGCTGGCGGAGCTCAAAATATAGCTACCTGAGCTTGTCGCGTCGGTGCCAAACAAGCGCCGAAAACTAATTAGGATGCGTTAATTGGCTCGCGACGCGATAAGGATCATATCTGATCATCGCCGCCTCATTGTACCCCTCCACCTTCATGCCCACACACACTGAGCGACAAGAGGCCGCGGATGCTCTTCAGAGAGCCTTTCTGGTTAATCTCATTGCAACGGAGCAGTGGGCCGACGACCTCGGGCGTCCACGCCCGCCCCTTTATCATCTTTTCAGACTCATCGTCAGATTCCTCCAACTCTAGCAGCTCCAGCTCTGGGTGGTCATCCCCCTCTGATGGATCTGATCTGGATGAATTGACTTCTGCGGAGAAGTATACTCGGGACATGGCGGAATTATATTCTGAGCATTACTAGTATACTACAATGAGTGCCGAGAGGTGCCCAAGTCCAGGAGGGCTTTGGCAGACATAGTAGATCTGAGAACGCGATGGGGAGGGCAGATTAGTGTGAGGAGGACGTGACAAGCGTTTTTTAAGACTCCGCTGCCGTGTGTCGAAATCAGCCGAAATCAATCCTACCCCATACGGCAAGGTAACGCTGTGACTTAGCTTCAAATCGCCGTTGAAATCAACTCGAAATCCAGCTCGAAATCAGATTGAAAACTCTACTGTGTACGACCCTAATTAACATAACGGAAAGACCTGTTGGGGCAGATGCCCCAGTTCGACTCTGGGACAGGTCATAGTTTGTGGGGTTGCTTGATTTTATTTTTTGTTCTGGTTCATTTTCATTTTAAATCCAGACCCGTATGTATTCTGCTTCAACTAAGGTGACAGCACGACCTGTTTAGCGCAGGAGGTAGCGCACCCCACAATCTATTGATCAATGCTGCGTTTACGTCTTCGGTAGTTGGAGGTTATCAATCTGGACCTTTGTTTTGACTTTTATTGCTCCCACCACCACATATTCCAACTTCGAACTCAAACAACACCACGACAAGAGCTGTTAGCGCAGTTGGGAGCGTGCCCGTGTAATGTCCATAAACGGCTCTCATATTGTGAGGGAGGCCTCGGTTCGAACCCGGGACAGGTTACAGTCTTTTGCGGACAGGATTTTTTCTTTCTTTCTTTCTTTCTTTCTTTCTTTCTCTGTGTCGACTCCTTTCTTATTTTGTTCCAACGCGGCTGTGACGACACCATTTATGTAATAGCACCCGCCAACGCGGACGCCATTCCATTCCATTTAAAAAAAAAATTAGATTGGGCTCCAAGTCTTCCGCGCGACCACTTCCAACCGAAACGACAGAAAGGGAAGACCGGTTAGCCCAGTCGGAAGCGCGCCTGTGTGATATCATTGGCGTCTCTTTCAGCTTGTGCGGGAAGCCCCGGTTCGAACCTGGGACAGGTCATTCCTCTTTGATTTCTTGAACTTTTTTTTTTTTTTCTTCCTTTTTGGTGTCGTTTCTATTTTTCTTCTCCTCCTTGTCGCCTCTTCTCTTATATTATATTTCGATTTCACTTTGTTATCACGAGAGCTCTGCATTTCTAGTCGCTAAATCGCCGCCAGCCAGCCCACGTACACACCGTCCACTCTCGACGGCATTTGATTTCATTACAACAACAGTTATAATACAGTATGTACATACATACACTATTAGGCACTCTCGTCCCGAGGCCTCGTCCCCGCTATTAATATTAATGAAAACCCGTATTGGAGTACCCACACCGATACCCCGAGCGAAACCGCGGTCGCAGACATACCCGATACTCCCGCCCCCCCGTACTCCTCCAACGTGAAAGCCCACGGCCGTTCCTGCGGCCATTCATGAGCACGTCGTGATCGACAAGTCGGCGAGTGTCATCGATAGGAAGGGCGCATAAAAAACGAGGAGAGTGCAGCCTCACTTCATCTTGAGCCCCCGTAGCCGGTTGACGACCTCGTCCATGCCCAGGCCCTGTACCGCGCCGCCCCACTCGCCGCTCCACCCCTGGCGCGACTCGCGGCGGTACGTCGTGCTCGTGCCCGGGCCCACGCCCCCACTTCCGCTAGTATTACTCCTATGGCCGCGTGGCGCGTCGGCGAACTCGTAGGTGCGGGAGAGGAAGCGCGCGGAGCGCGTGCTGCGGGTGGTGGTAGAGGGGTGCGCGGCGGCGGAGTGCGGTAATGAGGGTACGCGCACCCACTCGTCCTCGTCGTATGTGACGCGCGTGGGGAAGGGAGGGTCGTCGTGCGGGAACGCGGGGGACGGCGCGCGCGAGCTGCTGAAGAACGTGGTGGCGGGCGCGCCGCTGCTGGACGAGGCGGGGGACGGCGCGCGCGTGGCGTAGAAGGCGGGCGAGCGCGGGGTGTGTGGTTGCGGGCCCAGGCCGGCGAGGAGGGCGGAGACGGCGTCGGCGTCGGCGCTCGCTCGCCGCGGGCGGCGGTAGGGCGAGCGGGATTGGGACTGCGCCTGGAAGACGAGCTCGGGGGGGACGTTCTGCCCCAGAGTGCGGGTGAGCTTGGCCATCTTGCGGCGGCGGTCGGCGGAGGGGTCGGACGGGGGGGTGTTGGAGGCGAAGGTGGGGGAGAGGGGCGAGGGGAGGGCGCTGATGGGCCGGGAGCCGGGCGGGGAAGGGAGGCGCAGGAGGAGGAGTGGGCGTGAGGCGGGTTCGTGGGGTGCCTCGACGGCGGTGAGCGAGGAGGAGCGCAGGGGGCCGGCGGAGCCGGTGGTGGCGAATATGCGGCCGGAACGCTTGGACTCGATGCTGCTGGTAGAGGACGTGTGGGCGTGGCCGCGCGGGGGTTCAACGAGACGGGGTGTTTCGCCTAGCAGTGCTTCGAGCTTGCGCGTCGAACGCATGAGGCGGGTGCGCTGCGTCTGCCGCAGGGCGTGGGTCGTAGGGGGCATATCCATCGTATCCATTTTAAACAAAGGAATTCGTCAAGAGCGGTGGTGGTGTACAGAAATGAAAGAAAGAGGATGGTTGGATGGGGACCCACTCGTCGAGAGTAAAAGGGAGACGGAGAACAAGGGCGTTGTCGTCACCATCACATCGGCAATTAAATCAATCCCCATAAGGAACAACGCCCGGAAGAAAAACAATGCTGCCGTTTTCTTCTCTTGTTTCTTATGAGGAAGAAGGGCCCTTGCACAATACACTCCGACAGACGCCACAACACCTTCTGTGTCTTGTCTGCCTCCCAGCCGAATCTATTATTTCGTGATCCCATCTCATGAGTCATGACGTCGGACGTTGCGCACTCTTACTGGCTCGGAGGCTCCTACCAGTGTACCACACCACTCTTTTCTCTAAAACCCGAAAACCATGCGAGGATACTCCTCCTAGTCCATCTTCAAGATCGGTGCTGTTGGGCATTACATAGGATCTAGAAGTCTTTCTTAGGGATCCCCACCGTACCGTATAATACGGCTTTACGGGTACGGCTTTACGGCTCCCGTAACCGTACCGTATAGCCCTCTGGTGGGCCTTTATACGGTACGGCTACGGTACGGGTTGTCGGAAACTCAGCCGGGAGGGCTCTGGAGACAAGCTCTGGCCCCGGGGCAGATGCAGGGAGAAGGAGGAGGCCAAATCTACTGGGTTTGCCCGAATATAGCTTCACCCCACCCCGTTCTGACCACCCGTATACGGGTTCATACGGTGCTCCAAGCCGTCCCGTAACCGTCCCGTATGAGGCAAAAGCTTGACTTTTTACGGGCCGTATTCTTACGGCCGTAACCGTATACGGTACGGTGGGGATCCCTAGTCTTTCTGCATCGTCCCGCCCAAGTCCTCCCTTTCTGAATTAAAAACAAAACGGCGCGGAACAAAAAAACAAGATTATAAAGAACTATGACCCATCCCAGAGTCGAACTGGGCTCTCCCGCTTATGTAATTTCTGCCGAGACCATCAAAGTTGTGGGTGCGCTACCGCGTGCGCCAACAGGTCGTTCTGGTATCATAATTAAACTGCAATAATATCACAAGATATGCCTTCGCTCCGCTCCGGCACCAGGGATTGTTCCCGTCTTTTCGGTGCATTTCTCCAATGATATTTCATTGAATCTCACGCATTTCTTTTCAGAATAATATTGAGTGGTTGGTAAGGTGACATTGACCTTAGCGACGAAAAAAAATGAACGTGTCGTTCAAACACCTTCTCGTAGCTTGAACCTGAACAGAGAAACCCGAGTACTCTATATTGAGTCAGAGCAAATGAGCACGAACCAAAATAACAGAATTTTGTAAGAAGTCTGGGAGGTAAAACTTGGAGTCCTTTCTCGAGACTCACTGCAAAGCAAATGAAAGCGAACTGTATCATAAATCAAGGGTATATTAAAAATAAGAGGTAAAGTGCGTCCTAAATGCGTTGCGGCAAGATAGGGATTATGTTGGTGAGGTCCCGCAAATAGCCATGAATATCGGACACAGTCTGGAAACAGAGCGGGAGGGGGAAATAATTTGTTCCGATGGGACCAGCGTGTTTCGTGACGGAACGATGTATTTGAGCCGACGTGGTGAGCAGAACCAACAGAGGGTTAGAAATCACGGCCTTTGATGATGGCGTTGTGTCTCGTGTTGCGAGGCGCTTGTATATTTGAAGAGCAGTGGTTGAGGCTTGTGCGTGCAGACATAGGAATAAAAACAAAACAGCATAATTGCCAGGAACATTTGCACGAGAGAGTGGGCATATCAGGTAAGGGGATCCGCAAAACGCCAACGTCTAGTGAGGGATGCGAGCCATTTTATACCGTGGCATTCCACGTAAGACTACGTACCCAAACGTGGCCGCAGCATAGCTGCAGCCTTGCCGGAAATGCGGTTATGACTGTGGCGCAGTTTTCCGGAGCTGCGGCACAGGTTTCCGGAGCTGCGGCACAGTTTCCCGGAGCTGCGGCCCAGTTTTCCGAGCTGCGGCACAGTTTACTGAGCTGCGGCACAGTTGTTTCTGCAAGTCTTGAGGCCTGCACATAATTCTGCGGAATGTTGAAGACTCAAAGCCGAGTCACTCTGCTGTAGTTCAAGGGCCAGGAGGTAAGATCCTGTGATGCGTTAGTGGCCCTAAATGTAACATAGCTGTAGGTGCGCTGCGCGCTCGTGAGAGTCGAAAAAGCTGTGAACAAAGGATTAGAGTGGAGGAATAGGAATGGGGATAGATAAATGGGGATGCTTCACAAACATGAACAATCTGATTCGAGAGATTTCGTTAAGAGAACGGATAATAGCTTCGAACTTCAAAATGAAACGACCCAAAAAATTGCACCGATCAACGAATGACCCATCCCAGAATCGAACTGGAGTCTCCCACATAATTCTTCGACCAAACATGAGGTTGTTGCGGAGTGCGCCAACAGGTCTTCCTGGTATGTGAAGTGAGCTACGATATCTAGTGGACGAGATGAAATGATCCACTTACACTCGGGACAAAAAAACACGACATGTGGTTCGAAGCATGGCCCATCCCAGAGTCGTCCCACATAACTTCACTAGGAACAATCAGTTTATTGTAGCATCTGCACCAATAGGATCTTCCTGGAACCCTATACCATGGCATGCATTTCTGGTGGTAACCCAACTGCAAAGTTCCGTCTACACGGGTTTCCACGCCCTCTCGGATGTCCGTTGATTTGAATATAAAAGGAACGATGATGAGATGTCCGAAAGGCTCTTTTCACCGGTTCGTAATCACACAGCTCGACGGCTGCTATGGTATGATTCTCCCATACGCCGTCCGACGACGGGGTCCGTGTTGGTGTCAGCGGACAAACCATTCGGCACGCAGAATCACCCGCGAAATAGGACACAAAATTGCCAAAGGCACCCCGTAGTCCAAGGGCGCCGCCGTGGTGCCTGCAAAGTATATTGCCAATCGTGGTTCACGGTCCAGGTGCTCAGGCTCTTGCCACGAGACACCGACACTCAAACCGCCATCGAAAATGGCACGGATCTGTTGCTAATGATCGGGAGTCGATGGTGATGACGTTGTTCCACGTCAGAGCTTTGATTCCCAACGATTCTCTGTCTTTCGACAACGACATGCCTACCGACTCGGAAGCTGCACCCACCACGGCTAACCACCAGGACTTGAACCAATTTCTTTTAAACGGAGCACACGTATTGTGCAGTCAGGAAGAATGGTTATGGGATGGATGGGATAACAATCGACTCATATTTTATGCGGACGGCACCGGCGAGGTGAGTGAGAAATGCTGTCTGGATACATATTGATATTCAGCAATTATCCAGATGATATCCCGTGCTGAAGCCATTGTTAAAATCGTGGCAGGAATACAGTGGAAACTGCTCCCAAGTGCAGGTAGAGTGCCGATACCTGCACGGGAAACCACTGTCATCCCCCCCGATCATATGCATTGGAGGGACGTATGGCGTCGACCGATAGCTCGGAAAGAACCCACAACATTATTTGCGGGGATCGTGGAACTCACCATCACGAAACGCAGGCGGCTGCTGTATGGGTCCGTGGTGCATAATCAAATCAACGAGGAGGTGCTTCTCGACGGCGCATTCGAGACCCGGCGGATCGACATCGTCATTGAGAACGGGGAGTTCGGCCTCGCTTGCCATTATGGCGCACGCGGCGGCATCGGGCCAATATATGGATTCCGCCTGACTTTCAGCACTTCACCTTATCCCCCGATTGAAATGTGGAGGCCAGAGGAGCACAACACAGCGGAGGCGATGAGACATCCCCAGATGAAGCAGTTCTGTGCGCGGAAGTTGGCGGATGCGCAACAGTCGAATACATGTAGCATTATGTGAACCCTTTCCGCGTATATATGATCCCCAGAATCTTATTTATGAGTCGACTCATGCTGTGAGCTGGCCTCCCGAACACTCCTAGGATTAGAGATCCACAATATCAGGAAATTTGGAATCCCATAGTAACTTCTCATCTTCCGAAACGCGCACTCGAACTGGACATCGGAACCGACTTCCGCATCCCACCTTCGCCCGATACAAATGAATGGTACTCCCGTTTCAGGACGATGCCGCCGATGAACTCAACGGCATCCCGCGTTAGTTTCAGCCTAAAAAAATCGTCGGTCCGCGATTAAATCGCGCGGTAGATTCAAATTAGGGCAAAGATAAAGTGCCGCAGCATCTGACGCTGCGGCAATCGGCGGCACTCGGCGGCAATTGTGTTGCACTGCCGCAGATATTAAAAAATAAAACCGCGTATATCGACAGCCACGACGACGTGAGGGCTTCAATTCTTTGACCCTATTGGTCTTTCAGTCCTCCTGCATAAGCCTCCTGCGATGTTCAATGTCTGGGGGCCTTAAGAGGTGACTTGACTGCGGCAACCTGCGGCACTCTGCGGCAATTACATGCGGCAAACCATGAATGGATGCGGCAGCCTCATGCATAGCTGCGGCAGTCTAGTATTTTGCCACGACCATTCTGCGTCAGTATGCGGCAGCCAGGCGGCGTGACATCGCGGCAGTGTGACTTGTGTGCGGCAGGCTGCGGCAATTCAGCAAGAGCAATTCAACACGCTGTGGCACTACGCAGCGGCAGTTCCTGCGGATGTCGCAGCATAGTATTGCTTGAACCGACAGCATCGTAGTTTCCATATTTGTACATTATTATTCATCACATCAGCTCAAGCCGGACCACCAACATCAACGGAATTCAACTTCAACCCTGCTCATCGTCGTCACTTGTCTGACCTAACGATTTTAGGGAATGGCTCCAGCCACAGTCTTGCTATATAGCTGGTAGGCACTACAGCTTATCAATCCCACTCAACACTGCAACTTATTTATATCTGGTGGGCGGAACAGAGCACAGTGTCTGGCTAAACTCGTTGCTGACACTCTGCTCAGCCGGCAGAAAACTAAGTTCATTTACTTCGATTCATATGGGGTTCATCATATCTAATATTAATTTTACAAATATCCTCACCCCAAAACGAGTGCTCAACAGACTGTAAAACAGCCTGCGGCAGTTATTGAACATTGGTTGCGGCACTAATACAGCCACCCTGCGGCAGATTTTTTCTGCTGTGCCCGAATGGGCTGGATTCATTCATAAATTCCCGGATTTTGGTACACATTCAGTTAAGCAAATGTATCGGATTCTTTGAGCCCAAACCGCAGTGAATTCGAATTATGGGACTCAATGCGGCAACTGCTCAAAAAGGTGGCTGCGGCAATAACACAGCCACCCTGCGGCAGTCTTTCTTGCTTCTGACTCAAGAATTAGTTTTTGAGAATAGGCTGGATATGGGTTAATAATTGAGGTTCGCTGAATGAAAACCGTGCAGAATCATATTTTTCCCGAGTTATGTTCAATTTATATTTTCTGACTCCAGCTGCTCCGAGAGAAGTTGAACCTCAAGAATTTTTAGTGGATTCATTGTTCAGTATACACTACAGTGCTTCATGGTTTACAAAAGGTCCAAGTCGCCTCCCCGAGGTGTCAGCAAATGTATTTGTGGCATTGAAATTGCCAACATTGCCAACATCGGTGTCGAGTAGTGAATATTGTTGGTGACGCGGACCGCGATAGATCAGAGGCTTGGATGAAATCAATACAGTCGTCTGTAGTGTCTTGCGGCAGACTCCGCGAACTCTGCGGCAGTGTGACATATTTGCCGCATTGACTGCGGCAACCAACCTGCGGCAGTGCTGCGTGCAACAACATCGGCACTTTCACCGTGCCCGCAGGGGAACACTCACAATTCGGTAAAATTTTATCATATGCGCCTAGCGTGTCCGGCCGAAAGGCGAGAGCCGTAAGGCAGATGGCCCCGGCTTTTTGAACAAAAAATCGTTAGGAAAGTTACAAAGGGCTTGGCAGTGTTTTGATGGCGCGTCAAACCGAAATTTTGGTGGATGCCAGTGACTCTTGCTCTCCACCATCACTACGCTGCATTTGCCTGGACTTTACAGTGGGCTTTATCACTTTCGACGGTACAACTGCGGT